TTTTTTTTTTTTGTTGACATTGTTTCATTCTATGTTGTCTGTGTACAAGCTGTAATAGTCAGCATATTTTTGAAATAAAGATTATTACTATTATTATTATTATCAATATTAATTTCATTAATTTTGATCATCATGCGACTACTTTAATACTGCTTCTTACAGCATGTTTCCTACAATTGCTAATAGCACAAGATAACATATTCTTCAATTCAAAAAACTCCTTATTGTTGCATTTTCTCATAGATTACTCAAACATTTTTGCAAATAACAGGAGGTACTATAAAGAATAGCGTTACAAATATTACAATTAAGCCATCAAAACTGCTAAAATTAAGGCAAATGAAAACTATATAAAAAATTCTTGTGATTCCCAGAAAGCCAAGCGAGAAGTCATTGAAGGGTCAACTAGTGGATCCTCATTGAAGAGTAAACTGTCCTCCAAGCAATTCAATAATCATTTTGTGAATATAACACAGAATATTTCTAATGAACTCCCTGACAGTAGTGTTAATCATTATGATTATCAGAGTACTTCTAATCTCGTATTGAAAGAGAACTGATTGTTTTTGACTTGAAGAAATTTCTATCATAGGAATCAGATCAAAATTCTACCCCTACATAAGAATGCTTCACACAATGATTGCAATAATTTTGACTGATTGCTATTATACCAATTTTGAGCAGACTTTGGAAAAGGTTATTTTGAGTTGAACAAGTTATTCAACATTGTTTGATATGGATTCAGGAAATCACATTTGATAACAGATACAATTATCCGCAAATGAAGAGGGATACGAAAATAAAGAATACATAGAAGTTTCTGCCTGTGTTAAGATATTCTCTTATATAAATTGGAGCATTACGGTTTTTCCACACCACAGGGATCTGTGTTGGGACGGGTTCTTGACATGGGTAATTGCAGTCCTGATACGAATTTTATCCTATTTGCTGATGATACCAATATCATAAATAAACGTTGTGATAAATCCAGAGTCAGTGAATGCCTTCAAGATGCGCAGTCAAAACTCTTTGATTGGTTTACCAGCAACTAAGTATGTATGAATGACGATAAAACCAATACAATGCACTTCAGTCTATTGACTAATCCACCTTTCAGAAACGAAAATTCTGCTCTATAAAGTTTCTAGGTATATGTAGATGACAAGCTTGACTGAAAATATCATACTGACTTCTTAGCCTTCTGTATTCCTGTTGGTGTCAGAGACTGTGCTTCTAGCAGCCTCATTCAATCAAGAATTGGATATGCCTATTGACAAGGGGTCAGAGACGAAGTGTGCAAATAAGCTTTCATGCCTTCTTTAAATGTATACCAATGCCTAATATTCGCCCATCCACATAGATTCCCCTCTGTTATACACTTAAATCATACTTCGAATAATTTCCATCGTTTGAGTAAAACACAAACAGGTGTGAACTATCTTGCTACAAAAATGTGTAATAAATTGCCAAACTCCATTAAAGAACTCAGACTGGTTTGAAATTAAAAACACACCTGATGAAGAAATGTTTTTACTCTCATAATGAATATTTTGATAATAATTATAGTGACACTGAATTATTAATATTAATTATTATATATGATATGAGTTTGTAAAATTTCTATTTTAGACTTTTGTTTTTGATAAATAGGTTAAGTTTCTTATGATTTGTGTAAAAAAATATGTATGACATCAGTAAATTTATCCATCTATCTTAATCATCCA